CCACAACTTATAGACTTTCATTATGAATTTAATGAAAATGAAGATGGAACTCATGACTGTCAATTCATTGTATTCTCACCATTCAATGAAGTCGCTAAAAAGAAAGAAAATCCATTACGTATAAGATTTCAAATCTCCGAACCAAGTGATGATTTTAAGAATGTTTTCAATTATGATGCAATGCTTCCGAGGAAAAATGAATTTTCAAAGATTGTAACACCTGGCATTTGGGATAGAAAGCAAGCAATACTTTACTCTAATATAGCCAAAGGCGTTGAAAATGAGTTCATTGGTCATACAAGAACTTCACCACTTCCTAACCCTAAATATTATAAATTAACTGGCTTCAATCGTGAGTTTTGGATAGACATGTTCTCCACTCATGACCATAAATGCCCAGTGTTCTTACCTCCAGACCATAAGGACTGTCTCTACATTGAAGCACAACTCTTAAACTCTACCATCGCAGTATTGTAAAATCTACGCTAGCTTTATTTTTATCACGAATGACCTCATTGCTGACAAAAATAAGCCGCTAGCGGCAAAAATGACCTCAGAACTTCAACTTACGAATAAAGCTTGTTTTAGTCGTTATTGAAAAGTTGAACTTTTCAGCAAAGCAAGGTTGACATGACTTACATAAGTCGAATGCAATCTCTTGACCATCATAAAGTGCTTTGTAAAGTTTCATTAAACTGAACTCAGAGTCTTTGTCATATGTTCCAACAGGTATGTGAATGTTCTTATCTTCATTGTAATAGCATTGTATAGCTTCAGGAAACATTTCATTAGCGGTTAAAGCAATAACATCTTGCTTCACGCCTTTCATTCTGCAGTGAAATGCAACTTCATTTAAATCATTCGTGAGTAAGTCTATGTAGGTCTTCTTTCCACAGAAAATACTTTTATAAGCTAAACTTTGTTTTCCAGGTGTTATTTCTGCAAAGTCGCTATGAAATTGACCAAGGTTCTTTCCTATAAGTTCGCGACCATATCTCTTCTTAAACTCTGCTGCAAGCTTTGGGATGTCTTCATTATATAAGTGCATACTGTCGGTATCCTGGTAAAAGATTTGAAGTCCCATGTCCTCTGCAGTACAGAATACTTCATTCATAATACGTTTTGACATAGACAGAATATTAACACCAAGTGGACAGAAGTTAAAGTGTCTGCAAATGCTTTTCGTTAGCTTGAAAATAGTTTTATCTGAACCATCCAAACCTTCGAACTTCACTATATGGTTGTAATTTCTTATAGCATATCTTATAGCATCTTTGTCATTTACTATGGTTATTTTTGACTCAATAGGAGATAGAATAGTTTTGCCATAAATGCTGTTCAGAATGAGTTTTATAATTTCTTGTAAGGGGTTTCTTCTTTCTTATACTTTAACCTTAACTCAAACAACTTCTTTACTTCATCTCTTATTCTCATATCTCTGTTTCCATCGTAATAGTATCCTTGCAACACTTCACATTTGACACCTTGATATTTTATGAGGTCTTGTAATGTTATATGGTCAACATACATGAGACAGCAAGTGTTTGAACTTCTTGGAACGTTAAGTTCTGGATTTAGTTCAGGGTCGCAAACTATTAAATGAAAGTGTCTGGGTATACCAATCTCTGTTATCTTAATGAGAACAAAGAAGCCAGACATAAACTTTTCACCAATGGGTTCCTTTTGGTCATCATCGAATAAATGTCTCATGAGATACTCTGTGCTTAACATTTCTTCCTTCAATACTTTTGGAATACCTTCTAAAGTATAAAGTCTTGCTATAGCTGAAGGATATAATGAAACAGTGTCGAAGTCAGCAATGAGTTTCTTTTTGCTCTTTTGTTTCATGTTATCTGACAACATACATCTTCCACCTTGAATGCATCTCGAAATAAATTCTCTTGGTTTATTTGAGAGGTCATAAAGATTTCCATTCGGGAAGTATACTCTGTTCTCAAACAATTTGTTAGCAATAGAACAAATACTAACGTAGTCATAAACGTTTAAATCAAACTCTTTCAATAAGTCATTGCGGAACTTTACAAAACCTTCTCTTAAAATTCTTACATCTTGTTTGCAGTAAAACGTGCTATATTTTTCTAAGTCGAAGTGGTTTTCATCTATTCTGCAACCTTTGATGGAATCTATGTTCTTCATAAATGTATCTGCATCATGGATAAACTTACATGCTTCAGAAATGACACCAGTTCTGTTGTCATTTGCTAACAAAACACTGCTGTAGTAGTTATATGGAAATACTTCTTTCGGTCCTGTTTGTAAGTTAAACATAGCAGGAAATAGTTTAAGCTTCTTATTTATAACACTGTAAGAGTCTTTTATAATAATTGCCCGTCCTTTATATAAACCAGTTATTTGCATTGTTCGTGAACCTTTAATGATGGGAGTTCCTTTCACTTCTGTCATGTGTCTTAAGATGAAGTTTATGTCATAACTGAGGTTGTGAAAATATATTAAACTCTTGTCAGGAAGTCTTTCCAAAAATTCTGTTGCACAGTTTTGACCCCAAATGCTTTCACTAACTGAACCATCTTCACTGTCATAACAGATGTTAAAAGCTTTATGAAAGCCATCCGTACTACACTCAAAGTCAGCAAAGAAAACGTGCTCAGGAATGAATTTACATTTAGCTTTATTTACTTCTTTTGACTCTGCTTTCTTCTTCAGTTGTACACAATACTTTGGAGCATATGTCAAATCTTTAAATGGTGCAAGGTTCTGTTTATATAAGTCAGTCGTATATGTGAAAAGTTCTCCATAAGAAATAGGTTCGAAATATTTGCACTCCCACAATGTTTTCATAACATCCCATAACGGTGTTGTTCTATCATAACGAACTACATATTTATCTTCTCTCTTTGTATAAATCTTCATTTGTTTCTCAATGTTCATTCCACCACAAGCTTTGAGAATTTCTTTATATTTCTGACGAAATATGTTGTCATTGGTAATCTTTCATTTAGCATGTAGTGGTCTTCAACAAGAAGTAAGTCAAGAGTTCGAACAGTTTCACATTCTTTTGGTATGTATCTCTTTATTTCATTATGTCTTGAGTCATTGAAATAACCAATGGTAACATTAAATGCTATACCTGTTGCGTCAGAAATTTCTTGTACTTTACTTTGAGGAAAGTCTCTAACACGAATGACTTCTCTCATGTGGTCAATAGTTTCTTCATTTACTCCAGCCTGAATGCAAGCATAAACGAAACAATTGTCCTCTGTCATAAGTGTTGCAGTTCTTTTGTTCAGTTCATTGAAGATTTGGTAGCGTTCAAGATTTATAGGTAATGTGCAAAGATACTTCCAGAACTGACCGCTTCTCTTCTTATAAAACTTCTTTTCACCATTATCTTTCCAAAAGCTTTCTATAAGTGCTGGGTTTCCTGTTTGCTTAAGAGCTTCCAAAATGGCTTTCTGGTCATTTGTCAGTGTGCTTTCATCTCTATATGGTCTCTTTTTTGGTTTGCCTTTCTTTACATCTGACATCGTTAAGCCTTCATATTCTGTTAAATCATACATCTTTATTTCAGTAAGATTCTTTATGTTTGTCAAGAAGAAGTCATAGTGCATTTCAACAATACCTGCAGCATTTGCTTCTATCTCTGATATAAAGTTCTCCTTCAAGAGCTGATGTAGTAATGTTCCAATATTATTGAGGTTTAACGTAGAACATTCATACTTTCCACCAAGTTTATAACATACCATCCATCTCTGTTGGGAGTTTATTTTAATTTTCTCTAAGAGTCTCATGAAAACCTTACCGAAATGTTTGTGTAAGTAGTCTCTGTTTGGTTCATCTAAAGCTTCGATGTTAAAGTCAATGAGTCTATTGCCTGACTTCACATTTCTCTTCCTATTCTCTTCATCTTTCTTTAACCATCTCTCACCTTCTTTTGGTTTGTCGTCAATGGAACGAATGACATCGTTAGCTTTGCGAACTTGTTCTATAGCACTTTTAAACATCTCTCTTCTCTGTTGTTTCAGTGTGTCGTCTCTCTTTCTTGTTTCACCAACGTTTGCATTTGTTATGTCAAACATTTCTCTTCTTACTTCATGAGGTACTGAACGTCTATGATATAAGTCAATAGCAATGTCATTTAAAGGAAATGCTCTTGCATGGACTTCGTCCTCGCCGCGTTGCGGCTTTATGAACTCATGAATTCTATCATAACTTATTGCACCATTGTAGTCTTTAATGAAGTCAGCGAGTGCTTTTTGTTTGTCGCGTAATGTTTTGCAACATCTATATTAGCTTCTGTAAGAAGTTGTTTTATTTCCGAGTGTTCTAACTTAGACAACTTCCGATACATCTTTAGTAGGAAATAAAAAAATATTTTTTGAAAAAATTAGATTAGATTTTTTAAAGTTATTTTTCAAAATAATTTAATATTTTTATTTTAATGAAACACATGCAAGATTGCAAGTTCTTTTCATACAATGCTCTCGCTACTGCCATCAAGAATGAGTTCAATAATGCTTCAAACGTTAATGTTATCTTTAACAAGAAGTTTGTGAAAGAATCTAAGTTTGGTCAGTATGTCAGACCATTAGCTATTGTCATTGACCGCAAACGTTATACTTCACAAGAGTTAGCAGTAGTTTTGAAACAAAAGGGTTTCTTCGTGAATGTCAAAGATACTCATTATACTATTATAAAGAACTCTAACGTTGACTTCTTCAGTATTGCTTTAAATCTTTCCGAACAGAAAGAATATAAGAAGGGTGAAATAAATGTGAAATATTATCCTTCATCTCTGAAGACAATAACGAACAAAGATGTCATACAAAAGTTCTTACCAAAGGTTGAAGAAGCTTCTATTGACATTGACGAAGGAAGTGAAATGGTTGAAGAAATTGACCCTGAAGCTATTTAAGCAAAAATATATTTTTGGTGAAGAGGTGAGATGTCACCTGTTTTTTCACCTCATTCTCTCTTCGTTAATGCTTTGTCATAACTTCTTCGTAAATGTTGTCGTGACTTCATTCTTCCTCTTTGAAGTTATCGAAATACTCTGTTATTTTTTCCTTTAACAATGGTAAGTCTTCTTTGAATGTAAGTATTGTGCAACCTTTGATGTCATAGTGTGTTTGAGGAAGAGTATTTTTGACAATTTCCTTTATTTGCTCATTCGGTGTCATTGAAATCGGTAAGTTTTCACGATAGAACCAGTTTCTGTCAGATTTATATATTTTAGCAAGGTCGTAAAAGCTTTTGTTGTTTCTTCTGACTAAATGCAACATAACCATATCTTTATCTTCTTCATTCTCCAACTCTTCAGCGTAAATCATATACTTATAACTCTTTTCCTTTCCTTTTGGTACTGAACGTGGTATTCTTTTCTGTATGCTTTTGTCTTTGGATTCAATGACTTCATCTTTTGCTTGAAGTTTCTTTTCCATCTCTCCACGTTCTTGTCTGTGAAGTTCGTCAAGAAGTTTGTAAATATTCCAAGCATAACGTGGTGAAGCCCACATTGCAACTGCATTTACTAAAAGTCTATGAACATAATATCCTCTCAAACCGTTTGGCAATTTTTCACGATTTTCATAGAGTTTTGGCGACTGGGGTTTTTTACCTACTCGCTGTTCTTCACTGTTTTCAGAAAAAAGTACGTCTCGCTGTGCTTCACTTAATAGTTCTATGGTGCTTTGGTTCCTAAACCAGTCTTTAGGAAGCTTAGTATCTGGAGCAAAACAAGCCGTCAAAATACTTTGCATTTGGTACATGTCGTCTTTGACAGAACGAATGAGTCTCAATTGTTTGTTATACTGTATGTATTCGTATTCTTCATTTATGGCTTCATGAACGATAGCAATTGTTGTGTTCTCTAATGTTGACATTACTGTTCTTACATACAGGATAAAAAAATAAATAAAAAAAAACTAACTTTATTTTTTCTGAGATAAACACTATTTCTTCACAACATTAAATTTTATCCTGTATGAAATGACTTTAAAAAGATTATTGACTGACTTCGAATACTATCTCATTGACGCACTGACAGACCCTCAAAACTGTGTTGAAAGTTCTTTAAGCTTTAAGATTGAAGGTACGACGCATTTTGTCTTCACTTACGTATTGAAAGAATATGACCGTTATCATAACGAAGTGAATCAAACACTAATAAAATTTGTAGATAAAAAATTGGTTAACAATGAATATTTTAAACGTGAAGACCCAAACACTGCTGGAGATGATGAAGAATACAGACAAGTTATTGAAAAAAATAACGCAAGATTAGATGCAATAGAAAAGAAGTTTAATGAATGTCTTACAAACACGTATGAATATCTTATGCAGTGGGAAGTCAAATGGAAATAAATTTACGTCAAATATGCAATTTATAAAATCTTATGTCGACAGGCTACGTAGCACAGTGGTCTAAGGTGGTGTTATGGAGGGGTCAAGGTCTGTGGTTCGAACCGCGACAGCGCCGTATTTTCTTATTTTCTTTATTTGTCTTGTTTGTCGTGAATAAAAAGTGTCATAAAAGTGCTCTATCTTCCACGGGAATAAATAAAAAATTTACTTTATTTCTTCTTTATTTCTTCTTTATTTCTTTGTTCCCGTGGAAGAAGGGTTTTACTGTTTTTTCTCAGCCGAAATCAATGATTTTTTCATTTTTGGAATCCTTAGCGAATGAGGAATCTTTTCTCTCGTGGAAGCTTTGACCAAAAATATAATTTAGGTGAAGAGGTGAGATGTCACCCGTTTTTTCACCTGTTTTCTCACCCTAGTTATTTTATAAACGTTTCACATGGTAAACGTTATTTTTTTTAAATTTTGTGAAAACTCAACGGTTTGACACAAGCCCTAAAAATTATTTTACTCAGAATTTTGTTGCTGAATTCAATAAAAATAATGTTTAGGTGAAGTGGTGCGATCTCACCTCTTTTTTCACCTCTTTTTTCACCCTAGTTATTTTATAAACGTTTCACATGAATTGTACGATGTATATTTGAAATCCTAAACAATTTCGTAGCTTCTATTTCTTCTGTCAGTATGTCAAAAGTTTTAACAATACCGAAGGTTTCTTTATACTTCTTCTTGACGTCAGATAGAAGGAAATCTTCTGCTGTTGGATAGTTTTTGTTCAGAAATTCTAACATGTTCATTTTATCTTCTGCTGGCTTTTCTGCTTCTTTCTTTAAGTCTGCATAGTCGTTTCTCATTCTTTCTATCTCTTTGACTGAGTAGTTATATTTCCTCATTGCTGCTTTACATTTAGAACATTGCGGGTTCATTTTTGCGTTATATTCTGAAACCTTACCTGCTAAAACAACTAAGGCGTCAATGGTTTTCTTTAACTCAAACATAGCGGGTCTTATCTGTTCATTCCATACCTTACCTCTTCTATCTTTATCTCTTATTTCCCAAACACATTTTGCAACTAACGAAACAAAGTTATCGTAGGTCTTAAATTCTTCAGATTTATATATGTCAGAAATGTTTTTATATACCATGTCGCAATCTTTGTCCATAACCTTATGGTTGCAATGAAAACCAAGGAATTCATAATTTACCTTTCGTATGAACTTCTTTATTTCTACTGAGTCAGTTGCTTTGACTTCAATTTCGTCGAATTCAGGAATAGTGAGTTTTTGTTGTTGGATTTCAGGCAATTTGGGTAAATGGTCAATAATGTCCTGCATTTCATAAAGATATTCTTCATTTTCTTCATCTTTCGCACTACAGTCTAAATTACTTGTTAAAAGTTCTTGCTTTATCTTCTGGATTTTTGTTTCGAAAGTATATGAAGAAGGAATGAAGTTTTTCATCTCTACTAACATTGACGTAGGATTCATGACTAACGAGTTTGGTGCTGTTGTTGTGGACAGAGTCCCGCCGTTCGCGGCTTGAATTGTTGTTGTGCCGATTGTTGAAATCATATCTTTTATACAAAATAAAAAAATAAATAAAAATAAAATTAGCGTTATTTTTTATTTCGGGAAAATTCATGAGGTGAGAAAAGAGGTGAAAAAAGAGGTGAGATGTCACCTCTTCACCTAAATTTATTTTTGGGTCATTTACGCTCATTACGAAGAAGAAGTTTCGACAAAACATTTACGATGAAATCATGACAAAACATTAATATATAAAATTCATGAAAATTCATGAGGTGAGAAAAGAGGTGAAAAAAGAGGTGAGATGTCACCTCTTCACCTAAATTTATTTTTGGTGTAAATTTATGAAAACATTAATAATTCCATGATTGTTCTCATTCATGTCTGATTTACATCTAATGAAAAAGTTTAGAAGAATTTTCTTATTCTTTCTGGCATGTTTTTATCTTTCCAGTACTCCCGCTCTAATGGTCCCAGATGAGTTGGCTTTGACTCTCTCAAGTTCTTAGATGGTATAACATCTTCAACGCCTCCTTCATATCTTACTTTATAAGTGTCATCGTTTATGTTGTAGTCAAGTATTTCAATAACCACTCCTCGCTTTGCTTCGTCAATGGTTTCAGCAAGTTTGCCATTACTACTTTCGACTAATTTATGACGAGGGTAAAATGCTATGGAGTCGTCAGCAGCTTTTATAAGATATCCATTACCTTGCGTAGAGTCTACTATATAATAATTTCGACTTAACCTTAAACGTTTCTTTGTCAACGGTTTGTCGTCAAGAACTACACGAACTTTTGTACCAGGAATGAGAGTAAATTGTGTTGAATTTCTGATATTTTGTGTTTGACTTCGTTTCTTTTGTATATACTTTTCTTCTTGTTGTTGTGTCATTGAATTTGGTGTATGTCCTGTTGTAGAATGTGTTGATGAATTATATACTTCGAGAAAATGTTTCATTGTTTCTTCAGTAAAGTCTCGCTCTTGGTTTAAATCTCTTAATGTCCTTATGAAGCGGTTTATGATACCGAGTATGTTATGGTTATGGTCTTCAGTAGTGTAGTGAGTTATGTTATGCTTAATGAGAAAATCTGTGATTTCATTGCTGAGGTATGCACTGTCTTGGTCTGATGTTAAAGTACTTGGGCTATGTTCTGCTACAAACTTTTGTAAAACTCTTAAAACTTCATGAGTTCCTTTATTCCTCATTGGATATGCATATGCTTTGCGAGTATTAACATTTATGAAGATGAGGAATGGTTTATGTCCTCCTTTTCTGCTTTGAATGAGAGTGTCAAATTGGTATGCGTCAGGAGTATTGGAGTAAATTGGTAAAAAGTAGTCGTAAGGGTTTATTTTTGTTTGATGTACAACATTTTTGTCAAAGAACCTTTTAACTTCAGCTCTGTTAGTAAATCCCCAACTCTTTGCAGCTTCATTGAACTTCTTAAAAGACCTCCATGGATGTTGTTCGAATACTTCTTTCAAGCTCATTTATGTAAAGTTAAAGATTTTATTCTAGGCTCAAGCGCGTTCATTGAACTCTATACCATGCGAATACAGTCACAAATGGTGGCATATAATCTGCACCCGAGCCTGTTGGATTTGTTGTGAAAGTATGGGCATGATTTCCTGCGGTTCCACAGAAAATACCTGCGCTTGAATCTACTGGGTCACTTGAAATATCATATCTATGCATTCCCTGTCTATCCGAACCTGCTGCAAGATTTGTATAACCTCTTTTTGTTATTGAATGTGAATGACTACCTGTTGTGTTTGTAGTTCCTGTATGAGTGTGCGGTGGAAGGTTTGCTTCAGTAATTTTCTTCGAACCTCCTGTTTGCTTTGAAGAGTTAGCACAGTATAAGAATTTGTCTACAATCTGCTGCCATGTACCAAAACCTAAAACTGTTGCTGGATTTGTTGAGTTCATTGACGTATAAATAGAGCCTATAGGATATAATGTTTGAAGCATTTCTGTCTTTAATGTTTGAAGCTCTGTTTTGTCTGCTTTCTTGTCATATAAATCTTGAGCAGTGAATTTAATATTATGTTCATCATCCATGACATAAACATCTTTACATCTAATGTTTTTCATCGTCGTTATGTCGTCATCCGATGTTAAACCTTGTGGAAAGTTAGGAGGTTTACAATATAATGCATCCCCACCAGTTTCTTCAACCGTTCCTTCAATACTTTCTATACCAACAGTTGTAAAACTTGTATGTGTATGGTTCTTGTCTGCTTTTTTATCTAACATTGCTGGTAGTTCATGTGTTTCAAAGTTTCTGACATGACCTTCAATGTTCATACATTTACTATTTAAGGAGTTTAGTGTATCTTTTACGCTTGTACTTGGATTCTCTAAAGGTGCACTTGAACCAAGGGTATAGTTCAATATTATGTCGTCTGCTCTAACAGTAGTGAAGGATTTATGTGTATGGTTCTTGTCGGCTTTACTGTCTAATGTAGCTTGAAGTTCATTTATATCGGAGATGTTGTGTTTATGAGATTTCAAAACTTTGTTCATTGCTTCGAGTTCAACTTTGTCAGCTTTACTTTTAATAGCATCTTCAAACGTTATTTTTGACTTAACTCTCAAAGTAAATCTTGGTTCAACTAATACACCATTAACATTGAAAGTAGAGGCATAAATTTCACCGGTATAACCAAATGCTTCTGGTGCTTTAGCTACATCATACTGTACAGTACAGCTTATGTCATAACCTTTAGCACGAATGTATTTATATCTTCTTTCATTGGGGTCTTCCGTCTTCACTTCATCACTTCGTGTTAAATATCCATGGTAGTCCGTTATAATCTGTTCGTCTGAACTTATATAATGAACGTGGTTTTTATCTGCTTTTTCGGCTAATTTCTCATTAACATCATTCACTTCTAATTCAACTCTTCCGCCAGAACTCTTATTATCATTAATCTTTTTCATTAATTCGGTAATTACGTCATAAAGACTATATTCTGTTTTCGGTTTTGTAAATAATGAGTCAAAATTTCTTTTCATCATTACATCGCTGACATTAATGATATCACCAATTCCTTTTTCATTTATTCTCTTCATTAATTCTGCAATAATGACGAATATATAATCTGTTAATTTATTCTCTTCATCGAGGGTTATAGAATGTTTTGAAATTGAATCATTAACTCCTCTAAATAAATCAATAACTTCAGGATACACGTTTTTAATGTCTCGAATAACCCGACCAGTATCCTCGCCACTATGTGGCTCTGAGCCCGTTGGGCTCTGTTGTTCATGTTCTTCGTTCCCGTCGTTACGTGGTTTTATATCTCTAACCATCATCAACGCAGCCATAACCGGAGGGTTTGTTGCTACCTGTTCGAAAATCCGTCCGTTATGTATGGTATATCTAAATAATTTCTTTGTGTTTGTTAAAACATTTGAAACAAGTCTTTTAAAACCATCTACAAAATTTCCTGTTTCACCTAATGTTCTTGCAGCATTTACAAGCTCACCCATTCCCGCTTTTGACCCCAAAAACGTCCATATTGCATTTATTTCACTCTGTATTGTTGTCCATTCAGCGAAACTAACACCCGCATTCGCTAAGCTGAAAATGAAACTCAGTGGATCGAACTTAATTCCACCTTCTTTTTCAATTTCAACGAACTCACTAACATGAGATTTTAAATATTCTTTCGTTAAAATTGTTTTCCCTGATGTTATGTCATTAACGAAACTATCACCGTCAAAAGTTAACGAATTCAATTTCGTCGTTGATGCTTTTATTTCATACACCGCTTTATCGATAGTTTTTGGCTCACCTTCTTTAGAAGCATATGAAACATTAATGAATGAATTATATGTATTCGTGAATGAATTAAAATCAATGATTTTCATTAATGACGCCTTTAATGATTCATTTACTGTCGAATCCCTTAAAGTAATTAATGAACTGTCCTTTATGAAAGGTACACTGCAAACCGTCGAGTTTGGATCAAATGCTGTAGTTGGTGCAGGAATATTAATGATATAAGTCATTAAATCATTAAGTGACGTAAATAATGTTGTCGTTTTTGATTTAATTTCTTTAGCATCTGTTATATATGGTAATTTTATTTCTGTAGTTTCTGAATTAAAGATATTCGCTAAAATGTTTTGTAAACTGTTTTGAACAGCAGTATAAACCGTTGAATCCGGAACTCTTACGATTTCACCGTCCTTAATAAAAGGCATTGCACATGGTGTAGTGCTTGGGTCAAATCTTTCGGGATTATAATTCAACATATATTCTAATGCTTCATATACAGACTTATATACTGTTGTGTCGTTCTTCATGACAACTTCACCATTTACAATGAATGGCATTGTACATGGAGTTAAAATAGGGTCAAACTTTTCATAGTCCTTCCATGTTATGTATTTCTCGGTATTTCCATCACTGATAACAATATATTTGTCAGTAAGTGTGAGAGAGTATTGACCAAAATATAAACGTTTAGCTCTGTCAGCTTCATACGCATATGCAGCAATTGTCATATTTTAATGAGAATAAAATGTTGTTCTATTTGCAAAGTACAGACCCAAACGAATACGGGACAGTAAAGCTACAAACAAACTTAGGTCTACAGAATGAGCCACTTGCATTCAGAATGGTTGACTTCAATACTATCGCTTCATTCGTTATAACAGATGAAACAGATTTCATGGAGCTTGAAATAGATGGAAAGAAGCACGAAATAAGATTTCACAATAATGTAGAATATAAGATGGAAACATTAGCTGGAGTGTTAAATGCGCTCATAAATACTACAATAAACAAGGATAACGAAGAAAACTTAATGAATGTTAAACTTATTGCAGGAGTTTTGAAGTTCAGTTATGCGAAGGAGTTTAAGATAACACGAATGAGTCATAGAGTTCAATTGCTTCTGGGAGCATACCATATGACATTTCCTTTGAAAAGTATTGACAAAACGATTGAGATGAAATCTGTTCCATACGTATGTTATGGCAATTGTTTATACATTGAGTCTAAAATAGCTAATGTCACAGGTATTTCAGGAGTTAATAGTAAAGGTTCAGTAGAATATAAGTCTTTCTGTTATGCAGTCAATTCAATGTTCATTCCAAACGTTCCTGTCATAGCAACTCATTTAGGTAAATGGGTTCGCATTAGTCCTCATAATTTGAAAGACATGCAATTCAGACTGTTGACTTTCAAGGAGAGCCTGTAGAACTGAAGGCACCAGTGCGAATGACTGTTGAAGTAGACTTTTTAGAAAATATTAAATGCAACAGCTTACAAGAGAACTCAGAGCTAAAAATATAAAGTATGAATGTTATGTATTAGGTCATGAACTTTGGTTGTTGCTGTTTGATGAAACAAATGAGTTAGTTATGTCAGTCAAGAGAACAGAAAAAGGCGTCAAAGGCGCCGAGCGCAAAGCGCTATATTGTGTTAGTGAAACTGCACCAAGTCAATAAGATTAGGTTTGCATTATGAAGATGAGTTCGATACTGTTGAAGAAGTTTTGGATAGATATTACAAATTGCTTTAATTTACTAAAACATATTTCAAACAAATTTATATTCTGTTGAAAGTTTTGTATACTCGTTCGAATATTTATACTTAAACTCAACTCCTGAGTTCCTGGTATTTCAATGATGCGGATGTTACCTATTTTCATGAATGGTGGCGTTTGACCACAGCATTCGATTTCAGGGTCGAGATAGTCAATGACACATTGTTTCCCTGTTATTCGTGATATAACATTTTCAAGGTCCTCCTTTGTTAGAATTATTTGGTTCTTGCTTATAAGATTTGTCAAAAGCTTCTTATCGTCTTTGAGTAAAATTGTTTGTATAACTGAAGAAGGTAATGGTCTACGTTATCTGAAGGATTTGTTTGAACATTTGTGTAAGGGTTGTCGTTGGCTTCTCTTGAAAGAATTTGGTCCAGTGGTGGATACTCTAACTTAACATCTGATGTAGCGTTAGCGTTTGAAGCTGAGTTTAAATTCACGGATTTCAGCTCTGGTTCTTTTTCTTTCAAACACTCTGAACTATAGTTCTTTATGACAATATTGTTTGTCGTTCGTGAGTCAACATTTGATGTTGGTTCAATTGGAACATTAACGGCACCAGCTAAGATGGATTTGCTTCTCATTTCATATAGAATAAAAACCTTTTATATGTATGAAATGAACAATATACTCGACAAGGGTTTGAATGTAAAGCTAACGAATGAAAATATTGTTGAATTCACTGAGACAGGTGCTGTGTATAAAGATGTAGAACTACTGAACAAAAGAGCTAAGGGAAGAAGCAGGAACATGAACAAAGGGTGGAAGCCTATAAAAATTTATGTCAATGATGGCTCAGGAGGTTCAAACATAAAGTATGCAGAAAGTTATAGAGTTTATGCGCTAAAAGGTGAAAAGCCTTCATTTAAGAACAGCTATTCTAACGCATATCCTAAAAGTTAACGGAGGGGAAGTGGATGATATGAATGACAGCAAAAATATTAACAGAAATGGCGACAGAGATGCATGGAATTTGTTTACCATCAGTCAATTGAAGGTTAAACTTTAAAACAATGTTGGTCGTTCCATGGAATATTTTTGACTTTAATGGTATTAGTCATGATATGAATCTCAAGGTATGAACGAGGAGAGATGAGAGACTTATATGCTTCCCAAATTTCTTCAAAAGGTAATGTTATACCTGACTGTTTCCAAATGAGTTCAATATCATAGCGTGAGAAACCTTGAAAGATAACGAAGTCAGTTATGAGACGTTTTATGTTTAAAGCAAGGAAACGCCATGTTTGCATAAGTATTGCTACAGTTAAGTGGTAATGTCTGACTTTAGTAATGATGTTAGCTAATGGTGAGTCAGGCTTTGACACTAAACCTTTTCCGGCGAAGTCGTCGCAAACGAGCAGAGTATTTGAAGGATACTTTTTGAAGGGGTATTTTGAAAGTTTTGATAGAATGTAGTTTGTCAGTCGTTTCATATCGTAAACTCCTGAGTATTGACGTAAGTGGTGTTTGTCAATAATTCTTTCCATCTCTTCTGAAGTCTTTTGCATTCCTGACTGTATAAATTCAACGATGGCATAATATTTCCTCTTACGTCGAATGTAACGTTGAAGAAATTCAATGAGTTCGCTATCTGGAACTTTAACGACAGAGGCTTGAACTTTTGACATAAATGTTTTCGCTGTTGAATCCATAGAGTCTGAAGTTGCTGATATAATGATTTGGTCATAATATGAATCTTGACCTAAACGCTCTGTTATGAGTATATGACGAATGAGGTTAAATGTCTTACCTGACCCCATCTTTCCACAATAGAAATAAACACCATTTGAACAGAACTCATAGTCCTTACTGAAAGAAGAATGAGAGAAGAGTTAAGTTTGTCTGTAGTTTCATTCATGTCTTCATCTACGTCATGTATTAAATGCTTCATTTTATCTCCATTAAAAATGCAAGTCAGAAATATTCAGAACATAGCACCGAGTCTAACTGACAAGAGTATAAAGATATACTATGAACACGTTATGATGAAACCAACCAAAATTCAAGAAAGTCAGTATACTTATGAATATCCAAGGCACTGGGTAGAGTATGTAGGAGGTGAGAAAGCTATTGAAATAAGACAGGTTCGAAGTATTCCAGCAGGAAGGACAATATTATTGAAGAACTTTAATGTTTTGAGATATAATGATGAGACAAAGAAGCAAGATAGTTTTCCTATTGCTGTGTATGTGAACCTAGACACAGGAGATGACATGAAAGTTTTTAACACAAAGCTTCAAACGGTAGTGAGAGAACAACTGACTGCGGAAGGACACCCATTACCTTCAGAAGTTACCATAGCGTATAATTTTGAAACAAATGCAATAGATTTTAAAGTCATCTCTGCAAAGAAGTCAGGTTTTACATTTAATGAAGCAGATGTATATTCGAATGAAAACTTCAAAGCTATTGCATGGTTAGATAATGACGATTGCTTTAAGAAAATATTTAAATTCAGTGACTCAACGATGTCAATAGATGACCTTCGTGGAATGTTACCATCGACGTTTACAGTTGAAGGTTCAGCAGGATTGCTTACAAGATTGTCAATTGGTGGTATTTGGTCTCGTGAGAACATTGTTATAAAATCCAGTATAAGTGAATTTGCTGAAGAATCTATATTATGTCTTTCAAACTATATGTATTCGCCGCCGAAGCATTATAGTATAACAAACTTTGTCAGTAAGTTTAACATAAGACTTGTCGAACCTTCTTCAATGAAAGATGTTGTGCTACCTAAAGATGGAAAGGATGGACTCATTATTGAGATGATTTTAATAGCATATTAAATGAGCTTGTTCTTAAAGGTCGTTCATGATGAAATAACTGTTGTAGAAGATGTTAGCAATTGTTCAGACATTTTATTGAGAATAGATGATATAAGAAAGAAGTTAAATAGACCGCAAACGGACTCTTTGAGTCCTGAAGGTCTTTCAGACCGAAGCGGTGAGGGCGAAGCACGTGAGAATGTTTATGTTTCATTGACTTTCTCCAGTAAAGAGAACTTTTATGAGATAATATTGAAGAGAGATGATTTTAATATGGTGTAAATGGTAGCTTGGGCAGCTTTAGGCGCAATGGGAACAAAAGCATTAGCATTTGGAGCAAAAGCACTTGGAGCTTATGACGCAGTAAATAAAATGAGTGGAGGAAGAGTTTCGAAGACATTAGATGCAAATAAAGGAAAGATTGGAGGCTGGGTTGCAAAGAAGTTAAGATTAAATAAAATAGGGCTCATAAATAAAGCATCCAATTTGGTTGCGACTGAGTCAGAAAATGCTTTAGGAAAGGACGATGAGTTTGCAAAACATGCAAAAGACTTTAATGACCAGATGAAAGGTGAAACAATGCATTTAAATAGAGTCGATGGAACTAAAGAAAATGTTTCTTCTCCACCAGTAGTTCTTCCGTATGGTCCCTATGGAATGTATGGAAACCCTTATGAAAGACCATTTGACCCATTGACTGGTGGAAGTAACTGGTATCATTACGGACGAAGAAGAAAGACAGTCAAGTTGGAGACAGACGTGAAGAAAGCAACTAAAAAGAAACCAAGGAAGAGAGTTATAAAGCAATGAATTCATGAGGTGAAAAAAGAGGTGAAAAAAGAGGTGATATCTCACCTCTTCACCTAAATTTATTTTTGTGCTATGTTTTCATACGTGTGAGGGTGGTGATATCATTAATTTTTAAGTTTACTGAAAATTTTTATTTGGATGTAAATGACAGAACAAAAGCAACTCATACAAATCGAAAAATATAACAAACATACATTTAAACATTTATTCTTCCTTCCTGAGCATAACATGTTCTTTACACTTCATCCTAGACCAGTTGACTTTTCATTGACTGTGTATAAAGATTGTCATGGTAGTTTTATAAAAACTTATGATGATGAAGGTAAGTTAACAAGACTATGCATTTCAAAACTTGAGAAACTTTATGACTTCAAGTATGACTACAATAGAGTTAACATTGACGATGAAGATATAGAAGAAAATTTATGAGAACGTTTATTTTTTCATTAGTGAGTTCGTTAGTGAGGTGAAATGGTTGGCGGCTTTGTAAATATTTAAGGTTAAGTTAGTTTTTGCGTTCATGTTGTAAAATGTACGTTAACGGTTTTGTAAAGTGTCAAATTCACAAGTATTGGGTAAGGTGGAACGCAGTGCCACCATACCCAAGACTGGTGTACTAACTGCACTCATAGGCTCCTGACAGCATAAAAATGTTATTATCTCACAATATAAAAGGAATCATAGGAATCTACAACTATATCTATATTGTTGGAAGACTTCTTAATGTATCATGCATATAAGTTATATCAATAACTCCATTATGTTATATGATTGTAATCATATTTTCGTTTCATGTTCAAAAACATTAAAATCATACTAACTATATGAGTATTATATTTAGGAAGCTGATATATAGATATGATAAAATGCTAGGTTTTGTGATTAAGAATATATACTTATCTTTTAGAAAATAATACTTTTATAAAAAATTATATCTTATATAATCTAAAAATTTTGGACAATTAAAAAACATTAATTAAAAATAGAAGGTGAAAGTGTTTATTCAAAGAAGGTGCAAGATTATGATGTTTTGAGGGTGAAATAAATCTAATAATTATTTATGTGATTTAAGAGTAATACGATCATCGGTAGCTTGAAGACCTCTCTTTATAGCTCTTAATGCCGCAAACTTTTTTTGAACTTGCTTTGAATTTTTGAATGCTTTGATTAAATCTTTTGTTGTATCATACATTCTGAAATATCTGTTCATCATTTCTGGCATTGTTGGTAAATTTAACCTGTATCTTATTGCTACAATCGTTTCAAACATACTTTCATTGAAATGCAATATTGTGACTGCCATCCTAATTGGCCAAGAAGCATGCCAATTAATATTTTTATTAGCAAGCATTGCTTTGATATGGTTTATCGATTCAACTACTTGAGTTGAATGAATCTTTTTTACCATATCAAAGATTTTTACGGTATCTTCGAGGAATTTTTTAAGTGTTTTTATAGCAGTTTTATTTTTTGCATATTTCCATGGTTTAATCATCTTGCATTTTTCAGGATCTGGACAAAATTTATGATTTCCGGCATAATGTTTAGCGGAATTCAACCATAAAAACTTCTTTGTTTTAATTGACATATGTGTGTCATTGAGAAGTTGCCTAAGCCAACGCAATAAATTCTTTGAAATGCTAGATAAGATTCTGAATTCTGGCAGTTTGAGCTTTTTCTGTATATTGTTAAGAAAATGTCCAGGATCTCTGTATTCTCTGATACCTTTGAACGTATTTTTGATTGTAGAAACAATTTTGACATCGCCATCATGCACAAAAAAATTTACACGTTTTTCATTATTCCAACGCTTCAGCATTCTTTTTAAGCCTTCAAATTCCATTTCATTTGATTTTCCGTTGAAATTACCTTTGAAATTTTTAAAAGATTTAGATATCACTTCCCAATCTACAATTTTTTTGAGTTTCTCTTCTACAAATTGTACATAGCAAAACATTGCATTTCTTCTCTGACTCCAAGAACCGTCAAACAAAAGTCCCGAACATTTTCTCATTCGAGATTTCCAATAATTAACAGATTCTCTGGCAACTTCTATGATAACACGACCAACCTTTTCTTGGACTCGATGAAATGTAGCTTCTGACGGAACTTTGATGTTATTCAGCATGAATTGAAATTCTGATTGGCAAAATGTAGCGCCGCTCAATAATACAGATAGCACAAATTCAACAGTGTTGACGACATATGGCTCTACCCTATTTTTCGCGCTTTGAACTAAGTTCTTTATACGCTTTGCAACTGCTTTTGTTCGCCGCGGCATGAAAAATGAAGAATAACTTGACGGTTTCTTGAACAAATGGTCGCACATTCAAATATTGTGATGTACGATCAGGATAAAAGAATGTTGTTGCCGTGAATTTAGAAAATAGCAAAATTTCAATTTACGCAATCGAGATATAACTTGATCGTTTGAGCGATAACCATGGCACCCATAGTATTAATGAAAGTACTCATACTTACAATTATTTTCTCCCATAGGAATATTGTTCAATATACTTCACCTATAGAGGAAATCTCGAAATAAAATCGAATTTTTTCAAAAATTACAAAAATCAATTTTTTACAAAGATGTTCGAAAAATAACATTATATACGCATCAAATCAAAGCATTATATGGAGCATTATAATTCTATATATGATTGTCCATCTTGCTGTTGTGCTATTTTTTTTAAACAATAATTTCATTGTTGAAATTAAATTTGCAATTTCAGTAAAAATTGCGACCCATCATTTTGAATATAATTGAATTAATACATTTATTGTAAGAATATTATATACCAAATATTAGACTTCCACATGAATCCTGGTATGATATTATAAGTATTGCAAAATTAGAAAAAAATATGCTCATGATATACTAAAATTCATGTTTCAAGGTTAACTTATAAATAAAATAAGTTCGAGAAATGCATCACTAAATATTTGAGCTTGTGCACTATAATGCTATATAATAGTCTTCACTGTTTTTAATATATTGACTTTGCTAGACTTGATTTTTTTCATCACCCTAATGAGTGCCCATCCTTAAATAAATATGGTTCATCTCTTGCTTATCGACTGTAGATATTTGCTAAAGGAGGTTCAACTTTCTGATTTAACATTCTTTGCAAATAATACCATGACATTGCAGTGAATTCTGTATATATTTGTTCGTCTTTATTTGGATTGTCTTCGTAGATTTGAAATGACACTTGTGAATTTTGTTTGTCATATACAATTCTCACATAAAGTGTGCTATTGGTATTCGCATATTCATCAGCATATTTTGCATAACATGAATTTATTTTATCTTCTATATTTTTTAATGCAGTCTGTAGAGAAGATGAGAGGTCAACTTGTATTAGCTCAATTTCTTCCCACATTTTTCGTTGCCCTTCAGATGTATAATCTATATGAAACCTTACAATAAATGGAAAACTTTTATCTTCTACAGACACAAACTTTATTCTTCGAAAGCCAATAGCTTTTGTGACAGATGGGTCTCTTAACCATCTTAATGGGTAGTCAAAACGATAGCCTTCATGCTTTACGGTATCTGTCTCAAACTTTTGACCGACATTAGTAAAAAGTTCATCTAATGGTTTAGTTGTAGCAACTCTAGAATTTTCTTTTTCTATTGGAAGCATATTTTATCTATAATAAAAATGTCAAATGAAACAGCGTCTATGAGAGAAATACAACACAACCGACAACTCATTATGCAAGCTCTAAATAAGAACACAACAAACTTTTCAAACTATTCTAAGATATCTGAGTCATTGAAAGAAGGAAACTTAAAACTGACAATAAACCC